GTGACCCTTGTCAGGGGGCGAATGCAATACACGGCTCTTAGCCTCATTCGCGACTCGATCCTCGATAGGGTTTGAGTTCGACTCATGACTGAGTCTCTCGTGAATAGTCATTTGAGACAGGGTTCTCAATGACCGCTCTGGCCATACTAGGTTGATGATGAAACATCGCTCTAGATATTTAGCCAGCGTGGAGTACTTCCACGCTACTAGATCCAGGCTAGACAAACCTTCCACGCGTTCCGTTTTAGGATCGTGGAGAGACGTAGGATTACTACCGCAACCTACTCTATCACACTTTATAGTCTCCCGCGGGAGGCCAGATCTACGATCCCTTGATGATGATCTCTCTCGTTGATTAGTTTTCATAGCTTTCTAATCTCTCTCATAACTTTCATTCTCTCAAACTCAAAACACTCGAAAGATCTTTACACCAGCTTTTAGCGTAGTGCAGTCGTGTGCGACTTTAAAAGTCGCGGTAAAAGTCGCGGTAAAAGTCGCGGTAAAGTCGTGGTCAAATGTAGCGATTTTGTTAGTAAAGTCGCGGCAAAGTCACGGAAGTCGCAAAAGTCGTGGTAATAGTCGCGGTAAAGTCGTGGTAAAGTCGTTTGCGACTTTTAAAGTCGCGAAAGAGCACGACGTTTGGCGATTTTCGCGACTTTCAAGAAAACACGACTTTATGACGTCACCGGGTGCCTTCCTGGGCGTATGCTTCTGGGGTGATTCGAATCAGGCGACACGCGACACCACAGAGTTATTACATGTACCTGAGCTTAGTTGTATACTCCTTCGAGGAATTCCCCGACTCCTGGAATTCCTCCACTATTCCTCCAATGTTAGAAGGAAGCACTAAAGGGAAAGGGAATGGGGGAAAGGAATTACGTACGTAGACCTGTGTAGACTAGTACTGATTCATGACTCACAGTCACGTTCGGGACTAGTCAGTCAAATTCCTGCTCCTTCAAGGAATTGGGGAATTCCTCCATTCCCCTCATTATTCCCCCGGTCCAAAAGGGCAAGGAATGAGGAATACATGTACCCAACCAAGAACCTGAGCATGCACCAGCATGACATTGTATGTTGCCGCGATTGCTCGCAAGCCGCCGTTGAGTTCGGCCGAAGGAAGACTGAAGACTGACAGATTGTATCCAGCCTTTTGAGATGGTCAAGTCGCTGAAAGAAGTCATTGCAACAGTCGTTGAGCGTTGAGTCGAGTCGGGAGGAGTCGGTACTGCTGAACAAAGCCATTTAGCTAGTAACTAGACTAATTATTAAAATTCGTGGGGTGGAGTGGAGTCGGTCGCTCGGTGGTACTACTGAACAAAGCCATCTATTTAAAAATAAAATCAAGGCCTCCATAATATGCATGTGCCAGTGTCTACTATGCATACACGTAGTAGTATTCGCATGACATCAAAATGCCAAAACAGCTAAAATTTAATGCTGATTTAGCTCCACTCGAGTACTGTAAGGCAAACAGAACGAAAGATCTGCGCACGGGACTAGCTAACTAGTATGATACCTCAAAACAGCCACACTGCGACACAGTGGCAATATTCAAGCCTGAATGCAGGAATTGCACGCATAGAGCAGGACTCACGGTTGCAATCAATCCATTATTGCGCTTGAATGGAATCAACCCACAAAATCACCTCACCTCGATTGAACACACTCGATTGACTTCCTACCGCACTGTACCTTTGACGCATTCCCCTCTCCATCATTGGCCATGGTTCGTTATCTTTTTCTCAGTCTTACCCAACAGACCTTGGTCGTGGCTCTGGCTCTGTTGTTTGCCAATGCCAAGCCAGTGAGTGGAACTGGAACTAGCAGCAGGGACGGATGTACGTTGAGATTAGGCGGTGGCTCCGTATACTTTGCTGGTCTTGACATCAACACTTTGGATGGTGTTACCTATTCCACAGCGGGCACTCTTACCTGCGAAGCAGTGCTGCCGAATACCGATGGCCCTTGCCAAGGTGCCACCATCTCTAACTGCCTCAGTGTGGTCTGTGAACGCGACGCCTGCATCAATGCTGATCTTTCCACGGATGTTGACTCGGTGGAATGCAAAGACGGCAGTGCCTGCATTGGGACCAATCTTCCTCAGCTCTGTGCTTTGTTTCGGCCAGATGGTACTGTCTATGTCGGGGTGGCTCTTGCTAACCTTCACCTCGTAGAGTTTGACGCGAATACTAACACTCTCACGTGCAAGGCAAAATTACCAGAAGGTTATGGGAAATGCGAAAGTGATGCTTCGAATCAACCACCCACAATTTCTGGCTGCAGCAAGCTCATCTGTGAAGATAATGCTTGTCATGCAGCACAAATTTCTGGGGTTCCTTCCATCGAGTGCAATGGATGGAATGCATGCCAATATACCAAAATGACAGAACTGCCAAATGATGCACTTGTGAAATGTGTAGAAGTAGATGCGTGTCTCGTCTCAGAGATCACTGCGGCAGGCAGCTCCAGTGGTGCTCGGGTTATTTGTGACGGCGAGAATGCTTGCGGTGTCGATCATCGAAACCGCAGGACATCCATCAACGTTGATTGCCTTGAATGCAGATGTTCTGATGCATGCCTTAAAGGTCTTGATGGCTGCCTTTTCAACGGAGAGACCTGCCTGGATGGTCCCCAAGGAAGCTGCCCTTGCAGCTTGACCACATCCACGGGAGAAATCTATTTGGAGCGGGACATCAACACCCTTACTGACGTTTCCTACGATGCTAAAGCTAACAGCATCCTTTGTGAAGGCCAAACAAATGGGCTATGCCGGGGTGGAACAATCATGGCATGCCCTACAGTTGAATGCAGCACACAGGCCTGTAAGGGAACAACAGCCTGGAAACCAAACGACTTGGACTGTGTTGGCCAATGGGCTTGCCGCGAGGCTGTTCTCAAGAACCTTACTTCTGGTGCCACAGCCTCCTGCAATGGGGACAGAGCATGTGTGGACGCCGAATTCACAACAGAAAGAGGAGGAGTCACAGTGGATTGCATTGGAGACCGGGCGTGTCTACGAGCCACCCTCGATGATGGTGAATTGTAAGCTTGAGAGCTGGCTCGAGTGAGTGTTGTGGAGATGTCTTGAATGTCACTGTATCCCAGGAGTAACTTTGCCTGTGTGAATGATTCAAGGAAGGCAAGCAAGTGTGAGGTGTGACAAAAGAAGCAAGCGATGAATGATGATGAGGATGAGGAATTGTGAGAACCAGAAAGGTTCAAATGACAGTGGCAACTGTGAAGAAATTAGTGATGAAATTAGTAATGATTGTTTTTTCAAAGAGGTTTCTACATGGGTCTCTAGCCAGTAAATCGCTGCCATGCGTTGTGCCGTTCCTACCGGTTCCTTGCACGAGAGGTTTGCGAATGGAGGAGTCTATATGGGGAGTGAGGAGGCGTAAGTTTTACATGAGGGCGCGTTGAAGTTATGACGGAACCTCCTCTCCGCGAGCCGCAAAAGCAGAAGTGGTCCTATACTCTAGCGAGCAATGGACACGGTCATTTCGTTTGTGGGTATCGCAACGACGGCGGCTTCAGATCGTTGAGATTGGATTTCGTGGTCCGTCGATTCGAGGGAAGATGTGTCTCTTTGCTCGTGGACAATCACCCAAGTGCTTTATTCCAAAGCACAAAGACGCACGCCTCCCGGACAACTATGTCAGCGAAAAGCGTCAAAATACGCTCTTGAACGTCGATTCGACCTCTTGCTTCTTCGAGTTTGCTTCATGACATCTTGGCCAGCCGTGTTCCATCGATTTCTTCCTCGTCTGAACGGCTTCTAAGGCAACCCACTTCATCTAACGGCTCTAGCTTAGTGCCGTTCACTCCAGATCGATTCGATTCGTCTCGCTCCCCCTCTAGAGCGCACCGGGATGGGTTCTCTCGAAGGAGCGGCTCCAACAGCTTGAGATTCGGCTCGGATCTTTCACTTCTATCACCGTGTTGCTGAGGATTGAAGACTTGAGAGATCAGAAACTACCGGTAGGCCGATTGCTGCCAAGCAAGAAGAGACGTAACGAGGCAAAGCTTGGATTCCAGCATCATAAGCCATTGCGTCAAAGTACCGGTATGTCATTCGCTTGTTCTCGGTTCGATCGGAATCAACTATGATGTCTCTTTGCTTTGCTTCTTGTACATCCTCTGTTTCCTCCCTCAGGCTGAGTTTGCGAACAGTGCGGTACCCTTGCGCCATCGAAAAATGCCCGACAATTTAAGCATTGCTACAGGTACAGGTACAGGTACAGGTACTGCAAGGCGACGAAGGCAGTGGGTTGACTTTAGGAGCTTTGAAGTCAATTGAAGGCTAGTAACTGATTAGTCAAGTGATGAACACTCGTCAACCAGAAGATCAGCATGAACCCCAGCTATGTGCACCGATACAGCACCTTGCGAGCTGCGCTCTCATGATGGGGCGTTTTGAATCTCTCTGTGATTCGATCTCAATCTCGCCAATGCTGAAGTCTTGCCTGTCAAATAAGGATGACACCATGACACCTACGGCAGGTTGGCCAATAATTGCGACTCCTGCTTCAATATCTCACTGAGGTGATCAAAGCTTCTCTTGCCAGTGGTGTGGCGAGCTTTGGTACCGTGGTTGTTTGCAGGTACATGTACATGTAGATGATACACGGCACGGCACGGTATGTAAGGTGTGACTGTTTTCGTTTTGCTTTGTGGGAATGGAGATGGCATGCAGGGTACAGGTAGGTACCACTACATGTACTATTGAAGATTCGGATCGGACCTTCAGTCTTGTGTCTTTGGGAGACTACATTAATTAACGGTATGGCCCCAACGCGTAGAAGACTATCTTGCAGCAAGAAACCGGTACAAGTACACCCGTACAAAAGGTACCGTAAAAGCAGAGGCACATGTACATCGTACCTTGCAGTCCGGAAACTTGCGTTGCGAAGGGAACCATTCATGATGTTGCATCCGAGCAGGATTTGGATCTTTTGAACGGTGGTGTGCTACAGATATAATTCGACAAAGAACGACCAATATTTGGAATTTTTTACTATGACAACACTCGGGATCTTTGCTCCAGCGACCAAGACCATCCTACCACCTAGTACCGTAGCTGCAGGACCTTGTGCGATGTCTTGCATCTTGGCTAGCTAAACCAATCTCGTCCCCCGCCTCGAGTCTCATCCATCCTTCCATTCGATCTCACAAAATCAGAATCAAGCAAAAGCAAAAGCAAAAGCAAAGCACCACAAAAAGCAGAAACTTTAACAAAAGAACTCAAATCCAAAACAAACCATGAAGCTCTCTTTGATGAATCTGTTCCTTCTCGCGGCCCCAGTGACCGCTCGAATTGGATCCAATGGCGGCGTCGCCGCTCCCCTCCTTCGTTTGTTGCATGTCGCTCATACGTGTCCACTGGCAGGAGAGAGTTGTGCAAGCCTGCAAAATACAATCTGTTGTGGGCCTAATAATATTCTCGACGAAACGAATAGCAATTGCGTCAATGAGGACTTGTCTCCCTGTGAAGCGTCTTATACCTGCATCGATGGAACCTGTCAAGAAAATTGTCTCCACGAGGGTGAATCGAACTGCGGTGCCGCGGTGAATGGTTGTTGCGTTGGCTCGGAGTGTATGGAGGATGGAATTTGCAAGAGCTCATTCGCTGTAGCCGAATACGTGTCTCTTGGAGGTTCCTGTAATGATTTGGACTTGTCTTGCGCCGATGGTCTCATTTGCGAGGACAATGTGTGCAAGGAGTTGTTCCATCCTGGTGGATTTGCCCGCGAAGGTGAAATTTGCGACAATGCTACCGGTGCCGTAACTCCCTGCGAGGAACACCTGGTTTGTGGTGAGTCTGGTACCTGCGAGCTAGTGGAACTTGAAGGCAACAACACGACGGACCTGGATAGTTGTGCTGAAGAGATGGAGGAATGCAACCCCATCACCCTTCCTTGCTGCAACGGCGAATGCCAAGGATACACTGCCGGCAGTGAATTGAACGATGGAGTCTGCCAAGTCATCTAGACCTACGACTGTATACCTGGTAAGAGGTTTGAAAGGATGTGCTGTAGTTATGCTGTAGTTCTTGGACTTCATACATGTATGTGCGGCCGAATGCAAACACGCAAGCGGAGAACGTGAGGTGGATGAAACGAGCGAGACGAGGAGATAGAAAAGGTAGCCTTCATGCATGATGCTCCACTTTAAGAGTAAAGTGAAAAAATTGGATCATACACGGTACCGGTAGTCTACTGCCGTGCCTTAGCTAGTACCAGTACGGTTTCCAGTGAAATAGGGTTGCTTTGTGCTGTTGGGATACGGAAATGCCATACCAGGTACTACTGTGAGTAGAAAGCATGGACATAATCGATGTGAAGGCCACCATGCACCAGAGCATACAGGCCTCCAACAAAGCGGGATGACGGGGAAGGGCAAGAAAGCAGCGCTTTTGAATAGCCCAGCTACATACCGGTATGCTACCAGTAAACTAGATGATACTGGACAAGCGTTGATTGTTGATGCCATTCTGTGGCTCATTCTTTAAAAAAAGTGAGCGCAGAAAAGGGGAGAGAACAGGGCAGTGCAGTGTGCAGTGTGCAGTGTGCGAAGCTTTCGGAGCAAAGTAGTTTTGCGACAGCTTTTCAGTTGGTCGGTGTGTCGGTGTTGTTGTGTGATTTAGGCATCCTAAATCCTTGGGCTCTTTGTCTTCCAGCAAGATCAAAGGCGACTCAGAAGATTTAGTCAGCAGTCTATCGAATTGGCACAGTCATTGTAATCTTTATATCTTTATAGTCATTCTGAGTGTCAAAGAGTCCTTTGTGTCCAACCAGCAAAACATCATTGGAGTACTAGACTATTAATAGTACTAGTACGGTACAAACGCCTCCACGAACTGGAACAGCACCACCACTCACCACCTTCCCTCTTCCCTCTCCTATTCTTTGAAAAACTCTCACTTTCATAAAACCACAAAACCACCACTTGCCAATAGCTAGCTACTGTAGTAGTAATCAGATCGATATGAGTTCCCTGCTAGCACTTCTGCCCTCTGTCGGCAAACCCACTGCTAAGAAAGCCATGGCGGATGTTTCTCTGTCTGTGAGCAGCTCCAACCACAAGCGTCGAGGCGAGGATGGCTCAGGCAGCACATCTAGATTCTCACCCAATGTCTCGCCCAAGCGATCTCCCAAGAGCACTGCTACCGGTAGCAGAAGCAAAGACCGAGTGGCTCGATCAGATAGAAACAAAGATACTAGCACCAGTAGAAAGAGTCCTCCTCGATTGACCCGAAACTTGTCACTCAAAGAAGGCGACCACCAGAACAAGAAGAAAGCTGCTCCGTTGTGTCGCACAATGTCCCTAGCTTCAGGGCAGCACAAGTTTGAGCGCAAGAGCACCAATGGGAAGGTCCAGCTATAGTTAGAGTTAGCTATAGCTAGCTATAGTAGCTAGCTATAGCTACCGTACGGCAGAGCAAGCAATAGGTTAAGGAAGGAAGGGGGTGTTGCCCAGGGATCTCCCGAACAGCCAGAAAGCCAAGAACTGTACACAATTACATAACTAAGTCTTAGTAGAACGTACATGTAGAATCCAAGACTTTTAGTCAAACAAGTTGATACTGAAACCTGCCCGCCCGTTAGCTGTGATTGTCTACTGCTGGCCTCATGGAGTCTGGTGCCACTGGCAGGTATCATTGGGCTGCATTTTTTTGCCCCTGCATCAGGGCTAGACAATGCGCTGTCACTGCCATCATTGGACCAGCAATGCTGAAAATCGGATTGCAGCTTGTTCCAATAGGCAGGGAGCGAGTATCTTTTTGTTTACAAATAAAATACTGAGTACAGTATTCACTGCATCAGCCATTCCATCGGATGCCTACGTTCTACGATGTACTTCGTACCTGGCTGCCTGCTACCAGGAAGCGCAAAACCAGCCCAAAGACGACCAAGGGGCAGGGGGCTGACCGACCGACACGCTGTTGTGGCTGTGGCTGCGGCTGTGGTGGTCGTTGAGTAGGATAGTTATCGGTAGCCACCTGGATCAATCCATCGGATGGTGTTCTAAAGGCAGGGAAACGGCAAAAGCCAAAGATGACCTAAGATTTGGGAGATACCAGCCACATACAGCCATGTCCGTGCAGTGGCTCCACCATCCACCCAGCAAGTCCATGATCGGCCTCCCTTCCAAGCACCTGGGATTCGCCTTCTCTCCTGCTACTAGCTACTAGCTACTAGCTACCCATCAGTCCATCAAACCATGGTCGTAGACTACAGTTGCCAAAAAGAGAAGGCAGAGTTCTAACTAGCTACATGTACTATCGCCCCGCAAGCAACGAGATCCGCACCGCCCAGCAGTTCGAAGGCCTTCCCTCGCCCCAAGACGGGCAATGCACCCGCAAGGAGGTTGGCAGAAGCGAGAAGAAGAAGCAATGAAGCAATTCTTGAGCACCAGGACAGGCAAACCGCAGGCCCCAGCCAGCCAGCTCGCTGTTAGTACCAACAAGACTTAGTCAGCTTCACAGGCAGTAAAAGGCAGAACCAGCCAGTTTTGTACCGTTTGTCTAAGGCTATACGGGTACCACCATCCCTGACAAGAAACAAAACATCTCCAGTCGCCTGATCCTAGACTACTTGTTGGGTTGGTTCAGACGACGGTTTCTGCAGTAAGTGCATACTAGTAGTCTAGAGATACCGTGCCGGTGGGTGGACCGGTGGTGTGGTACCGTAGCGTCTTCGTTATGCAGTGGCTCGATCACGGGTCATTATTGTTGACACTGGGACTTTCTTGTCCTACGCGAGTGAAAAGGAAAGTAGACTGGTAGCAAACGTTAGGAAGCTTCTCATTTTGCAGATATTTCCCACAGCCCTTAGAGAACTGGGGACTGGGGGATGAGCAAATCTTGCTATAGGGCTGTTTTGCATTGGATAGCAACTGATATAGCTAGTTTGAGTTAGATTTCTACATAGACATACATGGCACACCAAGGCCAACACTGGTGCCATGGCCACACTTTTTTCTTCTTCTTCACTTCTTCAATTTCAATCTTCTTCTTCATTTTCTTCTCTCAATCATTCCTGGGTGTCTTGAACTGTTCTTCCTCGGACATGCTGCTGCCACCGGCAGTGGACTCATCCGAAACTGTGAAAACATGGGAAGGCCTGGTTTCGGTGCCAGCTGGGGCTGGAGCTGGGGCTGGAGCTGCCGCGGGCTGCAGCCATGGACATTCGCTGCATCAAATTGCGGAAATCTTCTTCGCTCATGGTGTTGAAGTTTTCTCTAAAATACTGGTACGCAGCTGGCGAATTCGCCTGAACATGCTCATCTCGTGCGTTGGTAGCTCTCTTGTATTGCTCATCGAGTTGTTGTGTAGTGGTGTTGAATTGCTGCCTCTGCATCGCCAACTCTTGTTCATGCTGTCGCCTCATCTGATTGACCTGAGCTTCCTGTTGATTGAGCCGATGAAGCAACTGCGCCAACATTGGGTCTGGAGCTGGAGCAGGCACACGAGTGTTGGGAGGAGGCGGAGTTGCCAAACCAAAGAGAGTTGCCGTCCTCTGGGCCTCTTCGACCGAGACGGGAACGAATGCATCTCTAGCCTTGATGTGCTTGTTGCGCTTGGACCAAGCACCAACAGTAGTCATCAACCTCATAGTCCTGGGAATTGTCGTGTAGCAGACTGGGTTCTGCAAGCTGCCAAAGTCAACAATGCGAGGACTAACAAGGTAAGGTTCAACTGCTTCGGGTAGCGCAACAGTTGCTTTGGCCCAAATGGTGCCATTGATTTCCTCATAGTCACCATCTCGAATTTCATCTTCTTCTGCCCTATTGATGGTGTTGCGGAGTGGTTGATCCAACTGCTGTCCAACAACGTCTCCATTGTGAGCCCCATTTGGCTCCATGAATCTGAAATCGATGGTCTTCATGTCCTCCCGCAAGGTTGCTTCCACGGTGGTGACACCAGAGGGTGGATCAAAGCGAGCAACATACAATGTGGACACAACTCCGCGGTTGTTATCCACCATGCTATCATTGACATAATGACGCGTGTAGAAGCTCATGTTGTTGCCAGATGGTGGTGTCGGCGGTGGCGTTGGCGTTGGCGTTGGTGTTGGTGGAGCAGTGGTGTCGGCAACTTCTTCTTCCTCCTCGAATCCGTCGTCTTCGTCTAGCGTGCCACCCAAAATATCGTCTTGAGCTCCTAGATCTTCGCCGTCGTCTCCAGGAACCAAAGGAGGAGCAGCAGCAGCAGCGTTTTCAGGGATTGAAAGGCCAGCAATAGCACGGACTTGAGGGGAAAACCCGCCTTGTCCGCGAGTGGAAGGATGGATATCAATCAGGTATTGCTTCTTGGTTTGCTTGAAATTGTGGTCGACCTTGGCTGCTGTCCACTTGTCTACCAGGACTTGACCTTGAGCGGTGGCTTTGAATTCCGTGTGGTTGGAGTCGGGATTCTCGTGGATGTACTTCAGCGAGATCCCGGTGTCAGGATGCTGCTGTGTCCACTTTGGACCTCGTCGAGCTCTTTGTTGTGTCGGCATGCTGGAAATTGTTGTGGAAGCTCAAAACGAAACTGCTTATCCATCGCCATTGTTGCTCTCAGGTTTTGAAGAAAGCGCATCGCACATCATTGTCGGTTGTGTCAGTTGGTGTGTGGTTGATTTTTTCGTTTTGTGTGGTGCTTTATGTAAAGTCGCCGGAATTGTATAAGTGTCAGCGGGCACTTCGAATCTTGCTTTCCGGTTGTTTTCTCTTGGATTGGATTAAATTGCATTGGATTGAATTGGATTGGATTGGATTGAATTATCATTTACTATACAAAAAACGGTACTATTTTGTATCCAATCCAATCCAATCCAATCCAATCCAATCCAATCCAATCCAATTCAATCCAATCCAATCCAATCGAATTCAGTTTCTTGCCAAAATGCGAATTTTGCCTTTCAACTGACGTTTCCAGGAGCCAGCCCAGCCCAGTTGCGCGATACTCAATTTGTTTACTTAGTAGCCACGGCATTCCTGGAAACTTGACAATAAACCCATTTTGGCAGTTGAATCGCTATTCCCGTCTAAGAAAAAGAATCGGAACGCAGAGATACTCCAATTCACCGCCAGCCCTAACAAAGAAAATGCCAATCCGACCCAAAGATATAAGGGGTACATCCCAATCCTAAGTCAAAATGTATGGGTTTCCCCTTTGGCCAGGATGTGTTTCTGAGCAAGTTGCGTGTGGAAAGGGTTCTGGAGCCTTTTCCGCAGCCTTTTCACATGCAATTCAACGTCAGTTCGGAACACAACCAATCCAGCTGAATCAATCCAGCTGGCTCGCTATTGACTACTAGCCAGTGCTAGCCATCCATTTATCGAAGCTGCTCTCTAGCTAGATACACAAACAAGAATTATGCCACAATGGGGCTCTAGCGGCGCTGCTGGTGGTAAGGAATCGTTGGGTCAGTTGTGGCCATGGATAGCAGGCTCGAGCTTTGGGGGAATGGTGTCATGCTTTGGAGACTGTTTTGCTCATTCTTCCAGTCTCTTCTCTCTTCTCCTCCAGGATGCCGAATCATTTGCCTCCAAATCCCAACCGCATAGATGCTGCCTACTTTTCCAGGCTTGGGAAAGTCTATCTCAGCCGCCATCCTGATTCAAAGGAAGGCGTTGACTTCCAGAAAGCCTTTCGAGAGATGTTTGGCTGTTCCCCTCGAGTTTGTGTTACTTTGTGAAGGCATTGTCTGGCTCGGCGAATCCATCGTGGTGCTGATCCGAAGCATATTCTTTGGGCGCTTATGTTTCTACAACTCTACACAAAGAAGATTCCTCTTTCTGTGATTGCTGGCTGTTCTCCTCCAACCTACACCAAATGGATTTGGCGCTACATTCCTTCCATCAGCGCCCTGCGTCCCAAAGTGGTAATGCACTACGCTAAAAGCTAGTGTAAAGATCTTTCGAGTGTTTTGAGTTTGAGAGAATGAAAGTTATGAGAGGATTAGAAAGCTATGAAAACTAATCAACGAGAGAGATCCACAACCAAAGGATCGTAGATCTGAACTCCCGCGGGAAACTGTAGAGTGTGATAGAGTAGGTTGCGGTAGCAATCCTACTCACTCCACGATCCAAAAACGGAACGCGTGGAAGATTCGTCTAGCATTTATCTAGTAGCGTGGAAGTACTCCACGCTGGCTAAATATCTAGAGCGATGTTTCATCATCAACCTAGTATGACTAGAGCGGTCATTGAGAACCCTGTCTCAATGACTATTCACGAAAGACTCAGTCATGAGTCGAACTCAAACCCTATCTAGGATCGAGTCGCGAATAAGGCTAAGAGCCGTGTATTGCAGTAAGTCTTCCAGCATGTTTTGTTCTTGCCATTGGATTCAATTCATTATTCTAACCATGACATAGATCAAATGGTCCAACAGGTTCCGAACCGGTCGATTCGGCAATCGCAATCGCTCCTGCAAGGTCACCGTGGATGGGACTGATTGCCCCATCAACCAACCAACACCCTTCTGCAAGAGTTGGTTCAGCCACAAGTTTGAGGGTCCTGGTCTCCGGTATGAGGTGGGAGTGTGCATTCAAACTGGCGACATTGT